ATATTTTCTCCAGTTCTTTCAGCTTTAGACATGCCAGATATGTTTCCTTTTGGATTTGTATCTCCAGCTTGTTGCACATTTTATTATAATATCATCCTTTGTCTTCTCAAGCTGCCCTTTGAAGTCATCTGTTCAGCTCTCTTATCATGTCATTTCTTCATCTACTTCAGCTTCTCTGCCTTGAAGAACAAGTTTCAGAGTGTCCTTTGCCATCTAGGCCTTTTCTTGCTTTGTTGTCTTTTTTCATGACTGTTAGCTTTCTTCATATATGTTATCTTTTAAAATTATTATTTTTTTTTCTGTGTGTATGTGTATGGTCAAATCAGACCTGACTGGTACAGGAGAAGATTGTCCCTCCTTCTCCAGCAGAGCATCTGATGAACCGCACACCTCTGGGATTGCAATGCAACTTCTTGCCACTAGGCCACCAGAGCTCGCCTGTGTATGTTATCTTTTATGTCATCCCATTAACTCATCTGGTCCTTGGTCATTACTGTTCAATGACATCAAATCTATTTTTGAGATGGTGTTTAAATTCAAGTAGGATAAACTCAAGGTCCTGTTCCAGACCATCTCTGGATTTTCAAGAAATATCTTCATTTAAAATTACAGAATATGTAATTATGAAAGAACAATACAGCAGGAGAAGGACTATTAAACTGCAAGGACTTGGATAAATAGAAAGAAAAACTGAAAAGCAAGCCCACTGCCCTGGATTCTAGCTCGACTCATAGTCACCCTCCACCAGCTTTCTGAGGCTGTAAAACTTTACGAGGGGCTCTTCTTGCTCCCAAAGGGAAGCTGGTAGGTTCAAACCTTTCAGTTCACAGCCTGACATGTTACACTGTCTGTCACCAAGACTATGATCTTTATAAAGGGAAGGACCACAAGATATATATATCTAATTTACAAATTGTAGGAAATCGATAAAAGAAAGGAGTGAAAGAACAGAGGGAGAAGGAAAGACCAAAAAAAAGGTAAAGAAAAGAATAAAAGAAAACATACGTAATGGGCAAGGGAGTACTACATACCTAAATTATCCATCTCTAACGCCAGTATATGAAGCATGGTTATATCTGGGTAAAAAGAATGTCGTTGTTGGACCATTGAGTATGATCCTCCAAAGGATTTTCGGCAGCCATAAACTGCATAGGAGGAGTTTGCCCATCTTTCTCTTGTGGAGCAGCTGGTGGATTCCAACTACTGCTGGGTTGACAACACAACTCCTTACCACTCACTACCAGAGCTCCCTAAAAAGAGTGTGTCAGAGTCAGTGAGACTGGTTCAGGGTAGAGCAGGGTTCACAGCTATTGCACATATGGTTGCTATGAACTGTAGATCCTAATTTTGTTTTCCTTTGCCCACTACAGATACTCGAAAAAGAATGCAATCAATGTCCCAGCCTCCATTCACCACCCTAGGTCACGGTTGGGATTGTAATACTAGGCTAAACCTCTAAAAGTCTCATTTCCCATTTCCAGCATTTAACTCTTACACTCAAAGGATGTGTTTGTTTTCTGTTGTCTTGGAATGGGATCATTTAGTGTAGGTTCCGTAAAGTTCATCTGAGAAAGAAGTTATCTGAATGACAAGCATCCTCACCCAAATTATCAACATTTTTTTTACAACTAGAAATGGCAAAGCAAAATATTGTTAAGAAACATAGCCATTGTACAGCCTAAAGAAGACACAAAGTAGACAAAGAAGATGGTCAACAGCAGGTATATAAGCAGACAGGCAAGAGAGATAGTTATGGACAGGTGAAAAGTATGGTCTATCACAACCATAGGTAGATTTGCCAGATAATATGTCGACTACGTTCCTATTGATATATGCTATAAATAAATACACCCATGTATATTTGGTACATGGTAGACCCAACACTGAGCATTGTTATGTAAGCTTTTTAATCATACCAAACAAATGAGTTTGTTGCTGATTCTGAGGCATTGGGAACTTGGTCTTGGGTCAATTGGCATAACATATCAAGGTCAATTGGCATAAAGACAACAGTCCATTTTCCATTTGGGGAGTAGCCATCCAGATCTTTAGAGCTTTGAAGCAGACATCTAAAGTGCAACTACTGGTCTCTCCCTGTCTGGAACAAAGTGAGGGGGTGGGAAAACAATGATATATTGAAGGAATTAGACCTCTGGACTATGAGAACCTCAGCTTTCACAACCCTGAGACCAGAAGCCCAGCAACCACTGCTGACCACTCTCAGAGAGACCACCATGGAAGTACTTGGGTAGACTGGAGGGAAATACAGAAACAAACTCAAAATCAGGGAGAAAGGCCAAACTTACTCGTCTGAAAGAAACTGGCCCTTACTCACCTGAGAAACCTGGAAGTGAACCAAAACCACTGAGTCTCAGGGCCTCAACTTTCAGCCACAGAGACAGGCCCCTACCTAAGGTGGCCAAGGCCAGCAGATTCCTCACTCCTCAGTGTAACCAACCACAGAAGGTCAAAGAGCAGCATCTGCCCCAGATAAAGCTCAGGAGACAGAAAAGGGTAGGATAGAAGGAGTGAATTTCAGAAGAAAGGGGCAATTACATTGTGGGTGTTGCAATTCACGTTACAAAAGCAAAATGAGTCTGAATGGTTGAATAGAAACCAATTTGCTTCGTAAACTTGCACTCAGATCACAATAGCAGAATTTATTACATATGTAACGTATATATTACATACATTTATTAAAATATATACATATATATTTTTTTAATGCATTTCCGACCCAGGACACTGACATTCTCTGTCGCTCGCTTTCTGGGTATGAAAGCCCCTGTGAGTTGCAAAATTTTGGAGACCAGGAGCAGTGTCAGGGGCAGTGGCTGGGGACAGAAAGAAGGTAGAAATCGCGGGGAGGTGGTAGGGGCAAGAGGAATCGGCCGGGGGGAGACCTGCAGCGAAGCTAATCCAGCAAGCCTACCTAATAAACCCTGGGTCTCCCCGCCGCCCTGCCCCGGTTCTCTTCAGGAGGGAGTCGGTCCGGGAGCGGCGCGGCACTGCCTCTCTCCAATCAGACACTCCAAGGCCGGCGCCACGTCGGCGACCAGATCCAATCTCGTCCCCTGGAAGGCGGGGAACGCGAAGTTCCCACCTGCACCTGTGGCTGCGGTGACCGCCTCCTGGAGTATTTTAAAGGCCGATCGATCGCTCGTTCATTCAGGAAAGCTTGAAAAGGCTCCCACCAGGGGAGGTGCGCCCGGCGCTGCTCCTGTCTCCGGATCCTCGGGTCCCGGGAGCTGCCGGCACGTCACGCAGGAGTTGGGGAGCCCGGTGGCGTCCCTCGCTGGGCGGGGACCGCGGAGTCTCCTTGCTTTTTCTGAGCAGTCGCCGGCGGCACACCTTCCAGAGGCCTGACCTCTCCGGACTGCGAGAAGTGACCCGACCTCAACTTCCGGGGCGCCCAGAACGCTGGCCCGCGGGGTTCGGGGAAGGCAGAGCAGGTGAGGCACCCGGGGTGGTTCTGCGGCAGCAGTATCCCCCGGGGGTGCTGTCCCGCGCCTTCCAGTGTAAGGGCGCCGCCAGCGCTCCAGTTCTGCGCCCCGCCGAGACCGTTCCCTCGCCCAATTCGTACGAGTCCTTCAGTGCGCACAAAGCAGATCAAGATGGGCAGGGAAAAGTGGGTAGACAGAAAGCAGCTTTTGGATCTGCAAAGTAGCCAAGGGCAGGATGTTTGGAAACCCAGCTGCGCACTGTGCCTAAGGGCGTGGGTGGCCTTTAAGCCGAAAGAACTTTTGGCCTTTTTTTCTCCCATTGTTTTCAAGTCGCTGTGCCCTCTGGTTGTTCTGGGGAGGAGGTGGTGTTGCGGTTTCGGGGTGCAGTTGGGGCGGTTCTGCCACCTCTCGGAGGCACTGTGAGTTCTCGCAGCGGTTCAGCGGAGAGAGTGCCCCCACGAACGCCACCGGAGTCTCCCTTTGGAGCGCAAAGGCCAGTGCGTGAACCGTGGAGCGTGTGGAGCGCGCAGGGCGGAAAGGAGCCTGGGAACCGAGAAACGATCCACAGAGGGAGAGAATCCTGGGCTTCTCCGGGTGCTGGTTCCAGAAAGACCCGGACAGAAAGTGGACGGAGCGCAACTAGCACTTTAAAATTAAACAGCCTTTTTGCCCTATGGAGAGGGTTTTGAAAAGTTTAAGGGGAAATCAACCACGTGGTTGGGATAGGATGGTCGTGGAAAATGCTTGCTTCTCAGAAATTTCTAACTTGGAACTAAACCTCTTAGTTGCGCGATGTAAAGACTTGGGGCGCACATCTTAAAACAGATGTGAAAGGGATATTTGCTACTTGGGTTCACAGCCCTCTTTGGCGCAGTCTGGCTTTCCAGAGATGTAAGGCCAGCTTCTGGGGAATAGAAGAGCAGGGGGAGTCTTGCAAGAGAGTTAATTGTGGACGTGCTTCTCCGGAAGTCATAGCACAGATAGCGGAATTAAAGAGTATCAGTTCATCCCTGACTGGAATGCAACTTCCCCCAAATGCCCTACTATTCAGAATGCCAGTCGCTGGATAGTCATCGTCCACCTGTATGGGGATGCGTTTGGTCGGAGCGCCCTCTTAGGTGCCTTTGCGAGGAGAGGCATCTACAGGCAGAAGGGACGTTCCGGTTGTGTTCTCTCTGGGGGCCGAGGTGGTGCCCCCAGTGCCCTTCTAGTGCTGACCTCTGCACTTCCCCTCCAGACCAGGCAGATTGAGTCCCGGGAATGGGAAGGTGCGGCCGCGCGACCACACGGTGGCGCCCTGGAGGCAGCGCCTCGGGCCCCGCGCGGGGCGTGGCGGTGCCTCGGTGGCTGGGGCTCCTCGCGGCGCACCTGGACCCGGGGCCCCGCAATGCGGGCGAGGGGACGGGATGGGGGCGCGCGGGGCTCCCACCAGCCCCGTGACCAGTGTTGCTTTCTTCCCCGCGCAGGGCGCTGCCTCGGCTCCCACCCCGGAGGCCGCGTGGGAGAGCCGCAGGGCTCCGGCCCTTGGCGACCCCCGATCCCCGCCGGAGACTGGCCATGGCCAACAGCAACTCCGGCCCCTGGTGGAAATCGCTCACCAACAGCAAGAAGAAAAGCAAAGAGGCCCCGGGGGAAGTGCAGCCCCCGGCTCCGCCGCCCTCCGAGGAGGCCGCTCCCCCTAGCCCGGACTGGACCGGCGCCCCCCGGGAGAACCTGCTCCCCAGCCTCTCTGGGGGCGTCGGTGAGCCCCCCAAGCCAGACAAACTGTCCACTGACAACCTGGGCAACAGCCGCCGCAACCTGAAGATCTCGCGCTCCGGACGCTTCAAGGAGAAGCGGAAAATGCGCGCCACGCTGCTCCCAGAGGAGGAGGGAGTCCCCGGGGACCCTCTGGGCGACAACCAGTAGCGCCAGGGCGCGGGGACAGTCTCCTGCGCCACCTCCCAGCGCCCCGCTCTGAGGATCAAACTTCTGACTGGCCCCTGGGTTCAGTGTCTCATCCCACCGAATCCAGACTATTTCTACGTGGCCTCGCCGATATTCCTGGAAGTGCCAAGTGTCAATTACGTTTTCATCCTTGGATGCATCGAGTTGGTTTTGTTTTGAATTCTTTTCTTTCGTTTTTCTATTTGTTTGTTTTGCAAGAGAAGGTACCTGCCGTGGAAGCTGGTATCATTTTTTTTCCGTCCAAAGCTATGCTCTGGCCTCCACTTCTCATATCATCTGTGGGAGTAAGACGGGTGTTTGGCCACCAGACAGTTTAGCGGGAGCTGCACCGCCCTTCAAACCAGGAGGGTGTAGTTGATTCAGAACCAGCTCATGGGGAGCATCATACTGTGCTGTTTTCAATGCCTGCGAAAAGTGCTCTGAGTAATTCTGTAGACCGTCTATGCCTTAAGTGAAGGGACAGGGAAAGAAAAGCCAGCAGTTTAAGTAGAAATATTTTACGTAGGGTAGCATTTGATATTGTATTACCAAACTATACCACTTATTTATGTACCACTTATGAAGTGTGGACTATTAAAGTTATTGCACTGTAAGACTTAAGGTGATTTTCCTGTTTTCTTTTTCCTTCACCACGCGATTAAAATCCATCATCTTAAAAGCAAGCACGCAGAGGTCCAGGTGACAGAGTTAATCATTTGCCACACAGCATAACAGCTGCTCTTAGAAAGCTTAGAGGAGGAGGTGTCAAGAAACAAGCAACATCCAGACTGGAACCAGTCAGCTAGACTTTTGAATTTACTAACCAAACACAAGGAAGTGGGGCCTAAAGTCTCCTTTTTCTCCAGTGCATTTTTATAAAATAAATCATAGTGGTAGCGTACATTCATTCCAGTAACGTTTTTGAATGATCAGTATCTTGTATCATTGTTTTAATTATAGTTAAAAAAATTATTTGAAAATATTTGCTCAAACAGATGAACAAAACTATTTGGATTTATGGAAAGTGTACTTGACTTTTTTCCAAACCTTTGCTTCAAAAGCCAATGTCTTTAGTCTGGAGAGTGCATATATCTAGTTTCAAAACCTCCAGCTCTACCAGCATGAAGATTCTTTTCCAAAACTTACCTGTTTGCTTTTACTATGAACTTAATAATAATAATAATAATAAATGAATACCAGTTGTTTTCAGCAAATTGTAATACAGTTATTGTAGTGCACCTTTCGGGTGCCTTAGAGGTAAGGAATTATGCTGTCAGCCTTAAGGCATGCATTTCATAGTCCAAAGGCACATGCAGTTCATAGTCCAAAGTCACATGGTTCATATCCACCAGCCGCTCCATGGGAGAAAGATAGGCAGTCTCCTCCCATGTGATTAACTGCCTCTAAAAACCTGCTGGAGGGTCAGCTATGGGTCAATTCAGACAGAATGGCACACAACATAACACTTTCAGCAGAGAGGCGCTGCATCTTTTTTCACCACAATTAGTTTCATTTATAAGGGTCATGTTATTGTGTTATTATGTGCCATCAAGTCACCTGCGACTCATACCAGCCCTATGTGTACATTAGCTTTGAAGCCTGCCCTAACCTGGAGGAGAGAAATTATATTGAAGGTGTATACTATTTTTATATAATTACAAGCAAAAACTTAAGTTTCTGAATGTGTTGAAGGGATAAAGGCAATTGGTTGGTAATTCCCCCCCCAAATTAGTATTATATAAAATTATGACATACAAGTAATCTAAAGAAATTTAACAAAAAAATCCTGGTGAAATGGATTTAATTTAGTGGATTAAAGACCCCCTTGGATATCATCAGGGCACTCTGGTGGCACAATGTGTTAAGATGGGGATAATATCTACTAGGCTGGTGGATCAAACCTACACAAGTGAGGGATGAGGCTGTCTGCTCCTGTGAAGACTTACAGCCTCCTAACCTCTTGGGACAGCTCTGCTCTGCACGACAGGGTCACCCCAGTCAGAACTGACATGGCCATAGTGGGCTTGGTTTGAGGGCTGGGTTATATCTGAATGATAGAGTGTACTGTGCAATCCCTGGGTCCTCCTGGGTAGTAGAAACAGTTAAGCACTCTTCTACGAGCTGAAAACTGGGCAGTTAAAATTCATGCAAAGGCTGCTCCGAGAGGAGCCTGGCAACCTGCTTCTGAAAGGTCACTCCCTGGAAAATGTGTGAAGTGATTCTCCTCTCACCCCTGAGATCATCACAACTCAAAACCCACCCACTGCTGACAGCAATTGTGTAATCCACCGGTGTCCACATATCTAAAGGAAAGTGTGTGTGTGTGTGTGTGTGTGTGTGTGTATACCGGGATTTTAGTGTTTTACATTATAAAAAGATTTTTGTTATTTTTTTGAACTTGGAACTTTCTCTCAACGTGGTCGGCTGACCCTCCAGCCAGTTGTCAGAGGCCATAAATCACATGGGAAGAGATTGTTCATCTTTCTCCCAGGGCTGGCTGGTGGATTCAAACTGCTTGCCTTTGGCTTGGCAGGACAACTCTCTACCCTCAAGGCCACAAATGGGCTTCCTGGTTGAAGAAGCCTTTTTTACATGGATAACACACAGGTTCTTCTTGAGTCAGGGCCAACTCAGTGCTGCTAACAAGACCTGTCATCTAGGACTCCGATAAATAAGAAATCCGGAAAAGGGTGGTGGTGAGAGTAGGAACAGTGTTAAGGAAGGGTGGTTGTTGTTGTTGCTCTGTCCCATCGAGTTGCTTGTGACTCACAGTGACCCTGTGTACAAGAGCCCTAAACGCCTTTCTATCCTGTGTCAACCTCGCCGTCTCAAACACACTCATTCCCACCACTCCACTCACAGAATCGATCCATCTTATCGGGGGTCTTCCTCTCCTGCGCCGTCCCTCCACTCTCCCAAACGTGATGTCCCTCTCCAAGGACCAGTTCCTCCTTGCAACATGCCCAAAGTATGTCAGACGAAGCTTCAGAATCCTTGCCTCCAAGGAGCATTCTGGCTTCACCCTCTCCAGGACAAACCTGTTTGTTCTCCTAGCAGTCCATGGTATATTCAACACTCTTCTCCAGCACCACAGCTCAAAGGCATCAATTCTCTTTCTATCATCCCTAGTCACTGTCCAACTCTCCAATGCATAGCACGCAATTGTTAAGATTATAGCCTGGATCAAGCACACCTTAGTCTCCAGCCTGACGTCGTTGCTCTTCAGGTCCCTCACAGCTGACTTTCACAATGCAATTCATCTCCTGATTTCCTGGCTGCTGTTGCCAGGAGTGTTGACTGTGGAGCCAAGTAAACTAAAGCTGTTAACTATCTCAATCTCTTCACCATCCATACTGATGCTACCAATTGGCCCAGTGGTGAGTATCTTTGTTTTCTTGATGTTGAGCTTCAATCCATACTAAAGACTTTCTTTAAAGTCCTTGACCTTCTGCAGCAAGCGCTTCAGGTCTTCCTCAGTTTCAGCAAGCAGGATTGTGTCATCCACATAATGCAGATTGTTGATTATTTTTCCACCAAATACAAGCACTTTTATATAGTAAACACACACAAACCAGTCACCACTGAATTAATTCTGACATACAGGGACCATACATGTGCAAAGTAGAACCATTCTCCATGGGGTCTGCAAGACTGTGGGCTGCAGAAAGTAGATGACCTTCCTTTCTAGGTTCCTGAGGCTAAATATGGTTTACTGGGTTTTGGTTTGGTTTTGTTGGGTTGTTGGGTTGTTGGGTTTTGTTTTTTGTCTGTTTGTTTGTTTTTTAGTTTAGCAGACATTATGCTAAGTACAATATCTCAGTCACAAAAGGACAAATACTACATAAGACCACTATTATAGAATAGGATTGATACAAGGTTAGATAAGGGAACCAGGAAAAGAGTGAATAGCTAATGAATACTGTACTGGAATAGATGAAGGAAAGCACTTTCTGAAAGGAATATATGATTAGGCTTTATCTATATGACAATTAATAATCTGGAACAAAAAATGCGCTACAAAGTGAATTAGGGGAGGAGGAAGGGAGGACAATTTACGTGAATGAATGAAGACCCAGCCTGTCTTATTAAAATAATTTTTTTAAAATCATACAAAGAAAAACATTTCAAGGTCAAAACCCTTTCAGTAGTAGCTGAGTACTTTTATACCAACCAAGGATTCTTCTAATAGAGCAGAAATTGTCAAATCATACTTCAGATTATGTTTACAGTTTACACTACAAAAAGCAATCAAAATGAGAATAAGTGACCACCCAATTCCTCCACTTCCCCTCACCGAGACCATAATTAGGACTATATCCATTTATAAAATTTAGCCTGAAATTGCATCGTTTAAAGGAATTTTACACTAACTCTTTCATCAGCCACTTGATTGTTTTAAAGGACATTGTTTTCCTGAAATTCCTTCAAATTCACCCAACACTGACACTTTCCCAGGTTCTGTGTCTGGCTTTGGGTCCCATTCAAGTCTATAATTGCTCCAGATAATCAATAGCAGACACATCGTGGTGGAACTTATTAACATGACACCTTTACCCTACTGTTCTGAAAGAATTTAAAACCATGCTAATGGCAGTTATGACAGTGAATGCAATTAGCAATCTGCCGTGGTGGTTTGTAATTACATAGTTTCAAAGCAGTCCTAAATTATGCAGCAGGAGCAATGCACTGATTTAATCCTAACTCAGTGAAATCAGAAACCAAGCAAAACTGGGGAGATAGAAAGATCATGAGTAAGATGAGATAATTTGACACAGTATCTTGCTGAGATATATGTGCTTTATAGATTAATTACATTCCCATTACGTGTACCCAGGCTTTCTTAAACTGTCAAAACTTTGTTACATGTAAACCGAAAATGCGCAATTAATATTGGATTTAATGACATTAAAGATTTTTTTGTCTTCTTTTAAGATATCGATAAATTAAAGCTCTTGTCAACAAGTTGATTTCGACTCATGGCG